TCTTTTATTGTTTTTGGAATATATTCATTTTCTATTTAGGTATAGGCAAAATTATAGATATACTCTCAGTAAAACCTCAATAAATTTGGATTAGAGAGAACAGACATTTTACCTCTCATTTTACTATTCAGGACCGGTTTGACAATTCAAGTATATCCTTAGTATAGGCTGCATATCTAGCATACAAGTTCATTTTATAACTCAAAAATGAACTTTTATGGTAGGTTTAGCCTATACTCAAGATATACTTGATTTGTCGAACCGGCCCTAATTCTCAGTAGAAAAAACTGGACTTAATTGAAAACTATCAAAATCCAATAATTCATTGTATTGTAATAGCAATCAAAAGAAGAAGATTTTTGGACTTATCTTGAAATGGAAACAAACCTTTCCATCTCTCTACGCAGTAATTCAGAAAACATCAAAATGTTATTCAGAGTAGTAAATCAGACATCATCAAATATAGGTACTCCTGGACAAAATTATCGCACCACTGCACATAAGCATCACCATAAGCAGTGGTGCGGTAATTTTGTCCAGGAGTATATAATTCAGATTTAACAGAAGTGAATAATTCAGAAAGTACCAAATGTACATATTTCAGAATTATTGAGTGCCTTCATGATGCCTATAAGTCAGAAAACATCAATAATTGTCTATAACCTTATTTTTTCCCAAGATAGACTTCGACATTGTCAACTTTGAAACATAAACAATGCCGCTAATGCCGCTTATTGGTCACTATTGTAAAACTGATGTCAACCTGCAGAAACACCTCATTTTGCAACCAATGAGGGCCAAGCGGTATTGTCGAGGGTATTGTTTATGTTTCAAAGTTGACAATGTCAAAATCTATCTTGGGAAAAAATAGGGATTAAATAAATAATCAGGGTTACCTATACATTTAATAATTTCCGAATTACATGTGATGTTTTCTGAATTACTGTTGGAAACAGTGTAGGAAGTCTTTCTTGAGTCAATCATATTTTTTTAAAAATTTATTTCTTGTCTCAATTTTTTTTTAATTCCAGGCTCTTGAATTTTCTTTATTTAATTCAAAATTAGTGAATCTTCTCAGGATTTAATCGCGGTGGGTGGAACTTTGTTATAGCTTTATATACATCAATACATCTATAGATGGAAGAGATCTGGCCCTTCTTAGTTCTAGCATAGGCATTTCGTAAGATTGTAGTTGTGATAGTCTCTATTCAGTGTGCTCTGCACATTTGTTTTAATTAGGTGGTTTTGTATTTTGTACATAAGTTTTGCCTGCTTAAGCATCTTCAACTGATCAATTTCTAGGTAGGAATAATGTCTGTATAGTGTTTCACTGGGTGTATAACAGTGCCTAGAGAATATTGGAGTTATTTTTGAAGATTTGAAGCAAAACATACTAAAATTTCAAAGCATTGAGTTGCAAACAACAAAGTTACAACTTTCTTAGAAAATGCACTTTTTTAGTGAAATAAGTCTTGATATCCTAATCATTCACTCAAAAACTACAAGGGTCAGAAATGTGAATTTTTGAGGAGTTATTTTTGAAGATTTGGAGCAAAACATACTAAAATTTCAAAGCAATTGAGCTGCAAACAACAAAATTACAACTTTCCTAGAAAATGCACTTTTTTAGTGAAATAAGTCTTGATATCCTAATCATTCACTTAAAACTACAAGGGTCAGAAATGTGAATTTTTGAGGAGTTATTTTTGAAGATTTGGAGCAAAACATACTAAAATTTCAAAGCAATTGAGCTGCAAACAACAAAATTACAACTTTCCTAGAAAATGCACTTTTTTAGTGAAATAAGTCTTGATATCCTAATCATTCACTCAAAAACTACAAGGGTCAGAAATGTGAATTTTTGAGGAGTTATTTTTGAAGATTTGGAGCAAAACATACTAAAATTTCAAAGCAATTGAGCTGCAAACAACAAAATTACAACTTTCCTAGAAAATGCACTTTTTTAGTGAAATAAGTCTTGATATCCTAATCATTCACTCAAAAACTACAAGGGTCAGAAATGTGAATTTTTGAGGAGTTATTTTTGAAGATTTGGAGCAAAACATACTAAAATTTCAAAGCAATTGAGCTGCAAACAACAAAATTACAACTTTCCTAGAAAATGCACTTTTTTAGTGAAATAAGTCTTGATATCCTAATCATTCACTCAAAAACTACAAGGGGCAGAAATGTGGAATTTCGAGGAGTTATTTTTGAAGATTTGGAGCAAAACATGCTAAAATTTCAAAGCAATTGAGCTGCAAACAACAAAGTTACAACTTTCCTAGAAAATGCACTTTTTTAGTGAAATAAGTCTTGATATCCTAATCATTCACTCAAAAACTACAAGGGTCAGAAATGTGAATTTTTGAGGAGTTATTTTTGAAGATTTGGAGCAAAACATACTAAAATTTCAAAGCAATTGAGCTGCAAACAACAAAATTACAACTTTCCTAGAAAATGCACTTTTTTAGTGAAATAAGTCTTGATATCCTAATCATTCACTCAAAAACTACAAGGGTCAGAAATGTGAATTTTTGAGGAGTTATTTTTGAAGATTTGGAGCAAAACATACTAAAATTTCAAAGCAATTGAGTTGCAAACAACAAAGTTAAAACTTTCCTAGAAAATGCACTGTTTTAGTGAAATAAGTCTTGATATCCTAATCATCCACTCAAAAACTACAATGGGCAAAAATGTGGAATTTTGAGGAGTTATTTTTGAAGATTTGGAGCACAACATACTAAAATTTCAAAGCAATTGAGTCGCAAACAACAAAGTTACAACTTTCCTAGAAAATGCACTGTTCATGTGAAATAAGTCTTGATATCCTAACCATTTACTCAAAAACTACAAGTGGCAGAAATGTGAAATTTTGAGGAGTTATTTTTGAAGATTTGGAGCAAAACATACTAAAATTTCAAAGCAATTGAGCTGCAAACAACAAAGTTAAAACTTTCCTAGAAAATGCACTGTTTTAGTGAAATAAGTCTTGATATCCTAATCATCCACTCAAAAACTACAATGGGCAAAAATGTGGAATTTTGAGGAGTTATTTTTGAAGATTTGGAGCAAAAGATACTAAAATTTCAAAGCAATTGAGTCGCAAACAACAAAGTTACAACTTTCTTAGAAAATGCACTTTTTTACTGAGATAAGTCTTGATATCCTAACCATTTACTCAAAAACTACAAGAGGTAGAAATATGGAATTTTGAGGAGTTATTTTTGAAGATTTGGAGCAAAAGATACTAAAATTTCAAAACAATTAAGACGCAAACAACAAAGTTACAACTTTCCTAGAAAATGCACTTGTTTAGTGAAATAAGTCTTGTTATCCTAATCATTCACTCAAAAACTACAAGTGGCAGAAATGTGAAATTTTGAGGAGTTATTTTTGAAGATTTGGAGCAAAACATACTAAAATTTCAAAGCAATTGAGTCGCAAACAACAAAGTTACAACTTTCCTAGAAAATGCACTGTTCATGTGAAATAAGTCTTGATATCCTAACCATTTACTCAAAAACTACAAGTGGCAGAAATGTGAAATTTTGAGGAGCTATTTTTGAAGATTTGGAGCAAAACATACTAAAATTTCAAAGCAATTGAGTCCCAAACAATAAAGTTATAACTTTACTAGAAAATGCACTTTTTCAGCGAAATGAGTCATGATATCCTAATCATTTACTCAAAAACTACAAGGGGTAGAAATGTGAAATTTTGAGGAGTTATTTTTGAAGATTTGGAGCAAAACATACCAAAATTTCAAAGCAATTGAGTTGCAAACAACAAAGTTACAACTTTCTTAGGAAATGCACTTTTTTAGTGAAATAAGTCTTGATATCCTAATCATTCACCCAAAAACTACAAGGGACAGAAATGTGAAAGTTTGAGGAGTTAGAAAATTGTTTTTTAAATTTGTTTTACAGTCTTTGTAGCTGTTTTAACCGAGGTTTTTACTGTTCCAGGGTAGCATTTCCATAGCATGGTATCATATACCTGGTGGAAGTGTGGCTCGATGAAATTATTATAGATTAAATATTTTGAGTTTTCATTTAGCATATGTCTTCACCTCCTTACAGCTCCCAATAATGAAGCAATTATTGCATGAATACTTTTAATGTCAGTTTGTCTATTATTATAAAGACCTAAGTATTTATATTGCTTCATTTTTTTTGAGAATTTTGCTATTAATTTTAATTATTGGGCTTATTATTCTTTTTCCTACATGATGTAGGACCATATATTGTCTTTTCAACATTTATACTGAGTTTATTGTAGGAGAGCCAACCAAAATAGCATACTAGATCTTCATTCACAATATTTTCAAATTTTTTTCCATTTTTTCTAGAGTATATGAAGACAGTATCATCACAAAATTTCACATATTTAGCCCTCAATCCAGCATACTTCAGATTTTGGACATATAGAAGGTACTCTAAAGGTCCTAGTACTGAGCCTTGGCCAATACTGACTGTTATATTTTCAGCGCTGCTTATTTCATCATTGACTTGGGTGCACTACTGTTAATGACTGAGTATGTTTCCAGGAAATTATGGCATGTCCCTTGAAATTCCATTTTTTAGAACTTATCTAGAATCCTCTCTAGAAACAATGCAATATGCACAGTATTGAAAGTTTTTTTGTAGATTTTGAACTTGAATTTTTTTGTTTTTTTTTGTTTTTTCTGAGGGGTGTTTTAGAAGGGGATTTTTCAGCTATTGTTTATTAGTTATATTTGTGGTTTTCCTCCATCTATTTCTGTTGTATTGCTGCCAAAATACTTATTATTTTTCTCTAGTTTTAACTTGCTATACTTACATTTTATTTTAAATTCATTAATAAACTGAAAATCAGGGAAAAGTTTTATTCCTTGAAGCTTGTCAGTGCTAATATTTGTCTTATATGATTATTTATCTGGATTTTTCTTCTGGAAATATTTGGATTTGGTTCATTCAAGATTGAGACTGTTTCATCTTATAATGTATAATTATATTCAGGTCAAACTACAGTCAGTCCCATTGGTCCTGATGAATTACCACCCCCATTTTACCAAGCCCCAGAAGGCGGTGTGCCAATGGTAACATGTAGAGTGTGCCAAGCCATGATAGACATTTCAGGCAAGCGAGAACAGCACGTTGTCAAGTGCGCTCAATGTAACGAGGCTACTGTAAGTAACTCAAAAATCGCCATATTTTTTTTTTTGAGTAAATTATTTTAGCCTATTCGAAATGCTCCGCCTGGTAAAAAATACGTGAGGTGTCCTTGCAATTGCCTACTGATTTGCAAAAGTTCTTCGCAAAGGATCGCTTGTCCTAGGCCCAATTGCAAGAGGATCATTAATTTGGCTCCCAGTCCTGTGACGCCGCCTGTACCTTCTATGCCTGGAATGTGCAGAGTGATTTGTGGACATTGTCAAGATACATTTTTGGTAAGCATAATTCTTGGAAATTTTTTAATAAGTAATGAATTTTTTTTTATGTCCAAATCTAGTTCAACACACTGAATAATGCCTTGGCTCGTTGTCCAAACTGCCATAAAGTTTCCTCGGTAGGTCCGGATTATTCCAGAGGTCGTGGAAATATTTTCTTTATTTTGACAATCGTTTGCCTGGCGATAGGGATAGGAGTGACTGCAGGGACTTACTTCTATGCAAAAAGCCACAGCGGCATGTATGTTGCCTATGTAGGAGCCTTTATTTTAGCCTTTATTTTCCTTGTCCGAAGCATATATTATTACTTTATGAAGGTGAGCATCATTGAAGGGCCAATGTAAACTATTATAGGATAAGGAACTAACCTGTTTATGTTGTGAGCATATTTATTGCGGTTCTCAATCTAGAAACATGATAATATGAGAGTTATTTTTTTTAGTATTTTTTTTTTTTGTAATCATCAATAGTGTGATATAATTATTATTACTTGGTTAATTATTATTATTATTGTTTTTTATTTTATTTGTAATCTTTTTTTTTATGGTAATTTTTCTGGACATTCCAAAAAAAAAAATTATCAATTACTTTGTTCTAATCCAGAAATTTTTAATTGAATCTTATTATTATAATGTAGGAACTATAAAAATATATTAAATGGATATTAGAATAGAATAAATTTGTATTATGCTGTAATAACGAGACATCAAACAAAATAAAAATAAATCATTGAAAAGTTGCTGTTTTTTTTTTCAATTAGAATTTTGTGCTATTTTCAAACATCTATGATGACACGCGATGAGGTAATAGCTAATCTAAGTTGAGCAGGAAACACCCGAAAATCGTGGCGAACGTGCGCGTTTTACACAAAAAATAAACGACGCCAGTAGTGCGTATCTCTCGCTTCTGAAAGCAGAATCTTGGTAATTAAAAGTTTGAATATTTTCGTGGGAAATATTTTGATTTTTCATTAAATCTATAGTGAGTTTTTTTTACAGGTAAAAAGGTGAGTTTTGAGGGTGAATTTGTTATTCCAAATCCATTTTCATTTTCTTTATCCCACAAAAAGGGATTAAAATCGATTGTTGTGCGCCTGCTTTTTGCCTTTTCCTTGTTTACAGTGCCCTTATATCCCGCAGGGAAAATATAGGGCATCATAGCTATTTTGAGATGTGATATCATTTTTACAAATTTGTTAAAAGTAGAAATTACCTGCTAAATCTTATCATATATTGCTGTCAAAAGGTAAGTGCCAATTCAAATTGTATTTTTTCAAATTGAATTAAATTTAACATCAAATTTTACCAAGCATAATAAATATTAATTTAAACAATTATTATTAGTTGAAATTGTCTAATTGTTGGTTTATTTATAGATTCAGGCCTCGAGTTTGTATACATATTTTTCAGGAATGTTTTATTTCATTATTTACCTTTGTTCAAGGAAAAAAAATATTTATTTGGTAATCATCTTGAAAGCATATTTGCACAATCAGTTTTCAGATTTATTGATGGATTGTTTTCAATATCATCTTGCTTAAAACTTATTAAGAATTATTATATTGTAGAAGAAATATTTGTTTATTTAAATTGGGATTAGATATAAATTTAAGAAAAAATGGGAAATTTTTGTCTACTTATTATTCCTGGATCTTGAATAATGTTTTTCCCAAAGCATTAAAAACCAGAAATTTGTTTCGAATGGGTGTGAAATTGCCTTTCAACGGCACTTTTTGCGAATTTTAAGTGCTTTTCTATCAAAATCTCTCCAAAGTAGTCTTAAATAGTCAAACAAATTCATTCAGAGATCAACTTTTTGGTTTAAATAGGCATTCCAAGCCCTAGAAATGAGCGTTTCAAACTACCAGAGCCCAATTTTAACTCTAAAACTGTTCGAACTTAGAGTACACTGACTGCTCTACAAGAGCCTCTAATGAGGGTACAAAATGAGCTTCTCAAACCGCTACACAGGGCCGTAGCCAGGGGGGGGCATTGGGGAGCAATGCCCTATCTTTCAAATGATCATGCCCTACCTTCAAAACGCAACGTGCGTTAAGGTTTCTCTAGGAAATTTAAGAGTAGATAATGAAAAGGCCTGAAATCGAGCGAGTGCGAGGATAAGTGTTTCCGAAAACTCCTATATATATGTGCAACAATGTTTGACGTTTACACAGAGGAAGTTTTTCGTTTCGAAAGAGTGCAAATGCAAGGATGTTTGCGCAAGCGGTCGTAGTTTAGAATATACATTTTTGATGAAAAATGTTATCATGGAATCATAACCTGTGGTGAAAACACCCTATGTCAAGGCGAGAAACGACACGCTTCCTATGTAATCACTGGTTCTTTGGCGTGGTGGGGGACTTGAGATTTGATATACACAGGCCTTATGATGATAAGCTATCCTGTAATAGTAGTAGTACTTATCACTGGCGGCTCGTGTCTATTTCAAGTGAGGAGGCTAATTACAGTATAGGATTTCATGAAATTCCTCAAAATTCCACTAAGATTTCAATTTCAAAATTCCAAATTTTTTTTCTAACTTTATTAAAATTCCTCAAAATTTTACCACTAAAATATCCTGGAATTCCACAAAATTTTCATAAATTTTTTTGGAATTTCATGTAATTTCTTAAAAATTTCTCGGAATTCACTAAAATTTTATGAGAATATCCACGTTCATAACCGAAAATTTCTCGACAGTCCAATGAAACTTCAAGGAATTTTCAAAATTTAATTTATTTTCATAAGAATTTTTCGGAATTTCACTGAAATTCTCTTTTAATAGCCAGGAATTTCTGGGAATATTAATGAAATTTCAAGTAATTTCTTAAAAATTCATCGGAATATATTGAAATTTCATGTTATTACATGGTAATTTTTCGGAATATCACCGAAATTCCATGTTTTTAGCTGGAAATTCCTCGGCATTACTAAAATTGAGTAAAAACTGAAATTTCATGTTGGGAATTTCGGTGTCATTTCATGTAATTGTTTAAAATTCCTCCATGTAATTCATTTAGAATTTCGTGTAATTCGATCGGAATTTCACTAAAATTTCAAGTAATTCGAGAGGAATTAGAAGTTAATGTGAATTCTATGAAAACTCCGCAAAAATTTCACATTTAATTCCTTTTTCAGAATAACATAATTATTCTACCGAAATTCCACTAAATTATGGAATTCTGAGTTTTTAATAGATTTTTGGAGATTCCAAAGGATATTTGGGAATTTTAAAGGAAATATTTTTTCAGAAATGTCAATGATTGGGTTTAAAATACCCTATAAATCGAGATTTGATAAAAACATATGGCAACGCTGCTCATGATACAACAAACGTCAAAAAATTGAAATTTCAAACCTTGGGTTTTTTTGACAATCGATACAAAATGACGTCTTTTTGTTTCAAAGGTTACGGCCCGAAGGGCCGGAGTATTAAAAATCAGTTAACAATGAACGGGTTCGTTCGGATAAAACTTTTGTCGCACGACCCTTTGGCAATATTAACAAATGTCACCTGTCAACTTTGACACATGTTCGACTTTTTTCCCGCTCTACTATAAAAGCTACGAAAACCAAACCCCGGTACAAGGCAGTTTCGCGACGCCAACTATAAATTTGTGTAAAAAAAAAATTGACAGCTGTCAAACTCAAAAAAGATTTTTTTTTTTAATTTTGCGAATTTCGAGAAAAATAGTGATAGAAAACGATCCCCGGACCCCAAAAACCTTAAATAAAAATTCCAAAAAAAAAACAACGATAATGACATTCCAAAACCTACTTGATAAAACTAAAGTTTTTCTCACTTACCCCGTTAAAACACTGGAAATTGGAAAATGAAGAAAACTCAAAGCCTCGTATTTTAAATCGGTTTTTCCGACCAGAAAAGCCCTGGAAAAGCGGACAAATTCAAAGAAAAACCTCTAAAAATGACATTCCAAAGCCTACTTAATGAAATTTGAGTTTTTGTCACTTACCCCATTGGAAAACTGGGAATTTTTAGCACAAAATGTAGGAAATTCAAAGCCTCGTATTTCAAATCGAGTTTCTTGACTGAAAACGGCTTGGAAAAGTGGAAAATTCGAGGAAAAACTGAATAGAAATGTAAACACGTCAATTAAAAATTGCCGACTGTCAAAACTGGCAAATGACATTTATTACAAAACCTATTTGAAGTTGGTACAAACGGTGTTGCCACATCAAAACTTCCAAAAAAAACATTTTAAATGGGATTTTGTTATTTATGTCATTTTAAAACTGGACATTTTTGCTAGAAAATGAAGAAAACTCAAAGCCTCGTATGTTAAATTGCCTTTTTCCATTGAAAAGCCCCGGAAAAGTGAAAAATTCGAGGAAAAACTGGCAAAAAATTACAAGGCGTCATTTCAAAATGGCCAACTAAAAGCAACGTTGCCACATCTCATTTCAGAAAGCAAAAATAACATTTTAAAAGGGTTTTCTGTTTAAAATTCAATTTAATAATTAATTAATAATGATTATAATAATTAAAATTCCCCAAATAAATTATAGGCAACTTGTTTTTAGTTTAATTTCAATGAAAATGACATTTAAAGGTTTACTTATTGATTATAGTGAGTAAGACAAAGACAATGATAAAGTAGTATATGTTTGCAAAAACCACCGTTTTCTGAATAAACTAAAAATCTTAAGAAAACCAACATTTCAAAGCCAATTTGATAAAACCAAAGTTTTTGAATATCCCTGACTCTTTGGTCGGACGTTAGAAATCGCATTTTAAATACTCCCGGTTTTCAATTAGCTCTAAATTATTGCTCACCAATGGAATTATAAACTAGGCCCCGTGATTAAAATAACTCTAGCCCTTCGGGCTCGCATATATAACTCCGGCCCTTCGGGCTCGCATATAACTCCGGCCCTTCGGGCTCGTATTACTCCGGCCCTTCGGGCTCGCATATAACTCCGGCCCTTCGGGCTCGCATATAACTCCGGCCCTTCGGGCTCGCATATAACTCCGGCCCTTCGGGCTCGCATATAACTCCGGCCCTTCGGGCTCGCATATAACTCCGGCCCTTCGGGCTCGCATATAACTCCGGCCCTTCGGGCTCGCATATAACTCCGGCCCTTCGGGCTCGCATATAACTCCGGCCCTTCGGGCCGGTATTACTGAGTATCCCAGATTCACAGATATTTGTCGTGGAGGCGCGCGGGATTGATTGAAATAATGTCAGACTTTTCTAAATTACATTGAAATATCGAAAATTGGAAAGTGTAATTTGTTAATTATTATTTTAATTAGAAATCAGGAATCAAAAATTGAGATTGAATTTTGAATTTTTTGGGGGAGGTTCAGCCTCCCCTGCCTCTTTTGACGAGCCGCCACTGGTAGTTATGGCGAAAACCATTAGTGAAATTAGTGCAAAAAAACATGTATTTCTGTCACTTTCTTTTACATCATGCTAGTAGAAGAGGACACGAATGCACTTAGTGCGCACTGAACTTACCAATGGATTTCACTTTTAGCATGTATTATCCTTGGTGCGAATGGTCCAAGGCGGCCCGAGAATCAGCGCCATTTTGTTTACTTGCCAAAGATATTATTTATTGAAAAAAATTGCCTTCGGCGCCATTACCACCGGATTGTTTACTTATAATTTAAGGGGGGGGGGGTGCAAGTAGTGTATGCTACAGTGGCTAAATAAACCTTTACATACAGTGGTGACAATAGAGGACCCGCCGCCATTTTGTTCCCAACCTCATGTTACTTTTAAATATGAATTTATAGGTTTTAAATGGACATCTTTCATAAAAAATTGAAATCGACGTATTTGATGACTATTATTAGGTCCATCAAATACGTTGTTTCCATGTTTTATGATGGATGTTCACCCAAATCCCATATATTCATATTTGAAATAAGCAATAGATGGGAACAAGATGGCCGCGTTCTCAATATAAATATATGGGATTTTAGAACCAATCAAAAATAAGACAGCAATTGTGGCCACTGTGGGTAATAGAGTGGTCACTGTAGTGTATGCCCTATGTCAAATTTGTCATGCCCTATCACAAATTTGACTCTAGCTACGGCCCTGTCGCTACATGTCAATATGTCTGTGTGTATAATTATTCTCTCTAGGAGAGCCTGGAATAGAATTTTTATATTTCTCTAGATACTTCAAATTCAGCTCCACGAGGGTAAAAAATGAGCATTTTAAAGTACCATATAGGTCTATCGTCAGACCAAATGTGAAAGTTCTCCATGTTTCCAACAATTTTTGCGGGTTCCACTGAAGAAAAAACAAATAAGCAACAGGCAAAACTTGAAAAAAAAAAGCAGGAAAACTTGTATCTAAGTTCTTGAAACTCTGTTGCAAATTCTTTTAGCAATTTTACGGAGTTTAAAATTTCAATTTCTAGCTCCAAAATGACCGAATCCCCTCAACCGCCCACGCCCGAACTCAAAAACCTCACCATCGAGGGCGAAATAAGCGACCGACCGACAACTCCAGCGTCTGTAACTCTTACAGAACAATTCAAAGCCTTCGCTAAATTCGGTGATCCAAAATCAGACGGAAAACAAATCACTTTGTCCAACAGCGATAAATGGATGAAACAAGTAAGAACTTTAGTAAAAATAATGTCTTGGCAACTTAGACATAGTTTCATTAGACACATTTCCACTGGCAAAAAGTTGTCTCAATCTCAACAAACTTTTTCACAAGGCCAACTTTTAATCTAAATGTTATTCTAGGCTAAAGTTATCGATGGTAAAAAGATCACAACGACAGACACAGGAATCTATTTCAAAAAACTCAAATCCATCAAAGTCGGCCTGGTGGACTACAAAAAGTTCCTAGAAGACCTGGCCAAAAACAAAAAAGTCGAAATCGAAGAAATCAAAACAAAATTGACCAATTGCGGCCTGCCAGGACACCACGGAGTTGGAGTAAGTGTAAAAGTAGGTATTTATCCTGAATAATTAATTGTTTTTTTGTAGGTTGTTAAAAATACCAGCACCGTTGACCGATTGACCGACGCTTCAAAGTTTACTGGAACTCACAAGGAAAGATTCGACGATACTGGAAAAGGCAAAGGAATCGCTGGAAGAAAAGACCTTGTTGATTCGTCGGGTTATGTTAGTGGTTATCAAAACAAAGACACTTTTGACAAAAAAGCAGAATAGATTTTATTATTGGTTTACAACGTGTGACATCTTTTTTGGGTCCAAAAAGAAAATCAATTTTAATTTATTTTAGGTCTTCCTACAATAGTAATTAATACTTCCAAATTTCGTACAATTTATGTTGATCACGTTGTGAAACTAAAAGGCAACTTATTATTGCTATGTGTGTTTTAGTACTTAAGTTCTATTCCTCTTTTAACATTTTATTCCAAAATTAGTTTATTATAAGGCATATTTAATATATAAAGACTATTTTTCGTTTTTATTGAAGCAATAAATGATTTATTTATTAGATGATTATTTTACCCAGAATAGTCCAGAGACTTTTTTTTCTAAGCAAAAATTTTCAAACTACATGGTTTGAGACTAGGAGATCTTGTAGAGAATTCAATAAGACAGGAAGTCCCTATATATTTTTTTTTTCTCTAGAAAATTTTATCTCTATATAGAGTATGTCAGTAAAAAGTTAGGGACTAGTAACTCATCTAGATCATGGCCAGAAATCAAAGTTTTCTTTCCTAGGAAAGCCGAAAATCAGATTCATTTACAGGCTGCCTTAGTTCTAATTCAGTTTAGGAAACCTTCGGTTCAGAGAAAGAGGAAAAGAGCCTTTCCTAGCAGCCCATCTTTAAGTCTAGGGATGGTCTGAAATTAAAGTTTAATTAATATACTCTATAAGAAAGCCTGGGATAAAATTTTCATTATTTTCAGTTGAATTTCAGCTCAATAAGGGTGCAAAATGAGTTTTTCTAATCGCTCTATTTCAACTGTAATAGCCAGAAATAAGAGTTCTCTAGTTCAATTTCAATTCTAGAAAAAGGGCATTTATGTTTCTCTACTTGAAATTCAGTTCCAAGAGGATCAAAAATTATCATTTTTCAGCTCATCTTTAATTCTAAGATGGTCCGGAATTAGATTTCAATACTCTAGGGAGAACCTGGAATAGAAAATTTATTCTCATTCTCAGCTGAATTTCCAGCTCTATGCAAGTGCAATAATAAGCTCATTCTAAGCCGCTCTACTTCGCTGAAAATGGAAAAAAAAAATGTGAGAAAAGTCACTGTTTCATTTGCAGAACTTCGCTATGGAGAGGGCGGTGGATTATTTTGGAAACAAACAGAACAGCTTCCGCAAACTAAACTTGACCGTAGATTTACTTTTTATACTTGATGGGCCGTTGATTTCCCTTTCTTTTGCGAGTAGAATTTGATGGAAACTAATGGAAAGACGCGTCTGCCGGTGAATTCAGCGGCTGTGAACCAATGGTCACGTTCAGCCGAACTCAACATGTTGAATGATTAGTCAGCGGCTTTGTTGAAAACAGGTGAAACTCAACTTTTGGCCAATCAAAACTGTTCTACGTCGTGTATTTCTCTTGTTGGATCAAAAGCCGCTGACTAATCACTCAACATGTTGAGCCCTGCTGAACGTGCCCATTGTTTCCATACTTTCTGACAGAATCAGCTCTATGGGGGTGTAAACTGATCTCCCAACCGCTCAGAAGGGTCCTATTTTCGAATATTCTCGCATACGAAACTTGATATATGATTTCAAATGCTCCCCATTTAATTTACATCAGTGTTGCCAGATCTCACCATTATTCGTAAGATTACACAATTTTGGTCAGAATTTCACGATCTCACGAATGAGTTAGCAATTCTTACGAATTCTCTCTGTAGTAATACAAATCAGTAATCAAAATAATGTAATCGGAAATAATCGAAATAAAAATCTACTATACAAGATTTAGTTATTTTAAGCCGCTCCTGGTACATGCGCGCCCAAGAACACATAACCCAATAGCACAGCATATAAAAAAAACAATCAGCAGGCTAACTCATCGAGCTTTGTATCCCAAAATGGCGGCGTGCGCAGATGCAATATGGGCGTTAAATCTCATTGTTCTGCCATTTAAAGATAGGCTGTATCCTCGAATGGCGGCGTGCGCAGAAGAGATGCGCGTGAGAGTTGACCTGCTGTCTGTTTTTGTATATCCTGTGCTAATAGGACTGCCTATTGAGCTGAAAGTGTCTACGAAGTCCACGAGACCCCAATATTTGCACGTCAGCTGCAGACCTTAACTCTTAGCAGAAAATGCATTATCCAAGTCCAAAAAACGAATTAATAAACGTTAAAATCGCCTTTCCTAAATTTAAAATTCCCAAGAAAATTAGCTCACAAGCACAGTCTGCATCGCAAGCAATCCATCAAGGTCTACGGGTGACGTTACCACTATCAGCTGCTGATAGTGGTGACGTCACTCGCCTTATTAGGATAAGCAATCCTGCGGATAATGAAAACGAGCTTCAGCTCTCAGGAATACCTGCTAGAAAACGGAAAAAACAAGGATAAAAGATTTAATAATAAAATTTCTATCTTTTATGGATGTAAAATCATATCACTTTATCAAAAATCTATAAAAGAAGATTGTTCTGCAATATTGTGCATTATATTCTCAAAAGCAATTTAAGGTCTCACGATTTCTCACGATTTTTCTTTCTCGATTCTCACGAATTTTTTAAATTTCATCTGGCAACACTGATTTACATTGATGTCGGTCAAATTTCGTGTACGAAATGTACTCGAATGAATTCGAAAATACGACCCCAGCTCTATGATTGTGCAAATCCCAAAATGAGCTTTTGGGAAACAACAAAACGCTTCATTTCTAGTATTTCCATTTTCCATACACCAATTTCTATACACAAAATGCCTCTAAAAATTTAGAGCCCTTGCAATTTGATAATAGCGTCGTAATAGATATATAGAGCCAAACCAAGCTTTCCGAAAACGCCTAAATAGGATCAGCTGCTTTCATTCATTTATAAGTAGTCACGTGTATTGGGCGTACACAGTGATGCCAGACTTTGCAATTTAAATACTAACTCCCTTATAAAAATTTACCTTAAAACTTATTTATTTACCACAACTGGCAGGCATTAGTTGAAAAATAATTTAAACTCTCAATTAACAAGAATTAGTTTACATTTTGTAGTGTGAAAACCACGAAAACGTATTATATAACAATGACATTGATTAATTAGGACATAATCACGTGCCAACCTGGCAACATTGCTCCTTTAGTTTACTTATTGAATGGCACTGTCCATTAATTATTATTTTTAAGTTTTTAGTTTATTCTCATTAAATTTAATTAAGCAAAATGAGATACACTCTACTCTACACTGTGGGCTACGTTGCAACAGCCTCCTTGACCATTTTACGTAAGTTTTTCCAGCCCAAAACTGAAATTTTTAAATTAGGTGTGAAGTCACATGATTTTTCCTTTTTTAGCCCTTTACTATGTTTTAACTGGCAAAGGAGAACAAATAAGCTTAGGCTGGTAAGCAATATTATAATCTACACAAACAAATCACTCAAATAATCACTTTTAGGTTTTTTGAAAATGTATCACCCTATATGTGGGCCTCTTTGGGCATTGGCCTTGCTGTAGCCCTATCAGTTGTTGGAGCTGCCATGTAAGTAACCTAAAATTGTCCAAAAATCAAAATCTAATAAAAATTTTACAGTGGAATTTACACAACAGGCTCCAGCATAGTGGGTGCCGGTGTAAAAGCCCCGAGAATCAAAACCAAAAATTTAATTTCAATTATTTTTTGTGAAGCTGTTGCAATTTACGGTTTGATTACTGCTATAGTTTTGTCCAGCAATTTCCAAGTAAGAATCATGGATATTGTAAAATGAATCACCATCACGTATAATTTATTTTTAATTTAAGCGCTATGATCAGCTTGAAATTACTGAGACAATAAGAGAAAAGAATTTCATGGGTTCCCATGTGATTTTTGGAGCTGGAGTCATTGTAGGGATGGTGAATTTGTTTTGCGGACTTTGCGTAGGGATTGTAGGTTCTGGAGCTGCTATTGCCGATGCTGCCAACAAGACTTTGTTTGTGAAGATTTTGATTATTGAGATTTTCGGAAGTGCCATTGGATTGTTTGGATTGATTGTTGGAGTTTTCTTGGTAGGGTTGTTTTGTGGAGGTTTTTTTGATTAATTGAATGTTTTTTTTTTTAGACTTCCAAAGGTAGCATGGGAGGTGCTGTTTAAATACTTCTGCTACAAGATGTTTTGAGGAGAGGTGTACAATAATTATTTTGTTAATTTTCTTTTAGTACATTCCAGTATTGAGGCCTATATAAAGTGAATGTTCTCCAGTTAGGATTGTTTGAAAACTTTATTGTAAATAAGATTAGTGTAATATATTGTAGATTTACATAAAATAAATTTCAATCAAATCCCTCCAAAATGTATCTGAAGAAAAAATAAAAGGTTCTTCAATGTTGATTTCATATGACATTGCCATGCAGTTTGCATCATAACTTTGTTAAATTTAGCTTTCAAAGTTCTCCAAAATCTAAATCACAAGATTTTGTGTCTTCATGGTTCTTTGGGATCTCCCTTATTCCATACACTAAATTATTCTGAGATTTGAAGCCGAAATCTATGAAAAAAGGCACTCAGAAAAATTAAAAAATTGATAAGTCACCCCAAATTGCTTAACACGAATTTATCTCAGGAACTATAAGTGCAAATGAGCTGAAATTTTCAGGGATTGTAGTCCCTTGATAGCTTTCTATCTATAATAGAAAAAAGTTATGACCTTTCAAAGTTTTTCAAAATCTAAATCATAGGTAGGTGAGACTATAATCCCTGAAAATTTCCGCTCATTTGCACTTATAGTTCCTGAGATAAAATCGTGTTAAGCAATTTGGGGTGATTTATCAATTTTTCAATTTTTCTGAGTGCCATTTTTCATAGATTCAGGCTTCAAATCTGAGAATAATTTAGTGTATGGAGTTTGGGGTATGTTGATTGACCATTAGGATACAAAATCTCGACAAAAAAAAAATTGAAATTTCATCGTTTTAGTAAGAAGGTACCTAAGGTAAACACACTACACCTTTTCCATATGTATTTCAGAGATCGTCAGTTTAATTTCAGAATGCGTCAATTGAAATTCAGATTAGTAAATTGTATTTCGGAAAGCGTCAATTGTATTTCAGAATAAATAATTTTATCTGTGAAAGAATCAATTGTATTTCAGATTAGTTTATTTTATTTCAGAAAGTGTCAATTGTATTTCAGATTAGTTAATTTTATATCAGAAAGCATCAATTGTATTTCAGATTAGTTGATTGTAGTTCAGAAAACGTGAATTGTATTTCAGAAATTGTCAGATGTAGTTCGGAAATTAGTAGGTATCTACGCAGATTTCCCCAAATCAACACAAGATAGGTGTATAGGTGACTCATTATAAATTTTATTTAATACACTACATTGATAATATCTGAAATACATTTGACGAATTCTGAAATACAATTTACAATTTCTGATCTACAAATAAATAATCTGAAACACAAATGACGATTTCTGAAATACAAGTGACCAAACTGAAATACAAATGACTTTTTCTGAAATACACCTGACGAATCTGAAACACAAATGATGTTTTCTGAACTACAACTGACAAAGTTGAAATACAAATAACACTTTCTGAAATTGAACTTACACAACTGAAATACAATTGACGCATTCTGAATTAGAATTGATGAATCTGAAATACAAGTGATACATTCTGAAATACTTATGGAAAAGGTGTAGTTGACATCAATGTCAATTACTAGAAAACTTAGGTTTCTTGTTCTAGTGCTTGACACCAGGCTCATTCCTCCTTTAGAAGTTAAAATCACTTTTTTTTATAGAACATTCATTTCTCCTATATCTGCACGTCAAAATGGTACAACTTTAATCACAATCATACAAGGTTTAATTTAAAAAAAAAATAATTAAGCTTACCTTCCTTACTTACTTCCTTAACACTTATATTAAGTAAATTCACTACAGACAAACTAGATGCGACCATGCAACACAAAAATGGCACCAAACTGCCCTTATGAACTAGAATGTTTCCAAAATTAGACAGTAGTCGCCTCGCAGATGTCGCTTGTTAGTCCCGGTGTTCACATAATATTAGAAAACAAATTTAATTTCCTATTTTGAATGATTAAAATTGAGAATGTCAACTACTAAAACTATGTCAAGTACTAGTGCGTTCACCTTACCTTATGATTTAGATTTTGGAAAACTTTGAAAGGTCGTAACTTTTTTTCTATTATAGATAGAAACCTGAAACTTTCACTGAATTTTATCCCTATCAAGGGACTACAATCCCTGAAAATTTCAGCTCATTTGCACGTATAGTTCCTAAGATAAAATCGTGTTAAGCAATTTGGGGTGATTTATCAATTTTTCAATTTTTCTGAGTGCCATTTTTCATAGATTCAGGCTTCAAATCTGAGAATAATTTAGTGTATGGAGTTTGAGGTATGTTGATTCACCGTTAGGATACAAAATCTCGACAAAAAAAAAATTGAAATGTCATCGTTTTAGTAAGAAGGTACCTACCTTATGATTTAGATTTTGAAAAACTTTGAAAGGTCATAACTTTTTTTCCATTATAGATAGAAAGCTGAAACTTTCACTGAATTTTATCCCTGTCAAAGGACTACAATCCCTGAAAATTTCAGCTCATTTTGCACTTATAGTTCCTGAAATAAAGTCGTGTTAAGTAATTTGGGGTGGTTTATCAATTTTTCAATTTTTCTGAGTGCCTTTTTTCATAGATTCAGGCTTCAAATCTGAGAATAATTTAGTGTATGGAGTTTGAGGTATGTTGATTGACCAATAGGATAGAAAATCTCGACAGAAATAAATTAGAAATTTCATCGTTTTAATAAGATTTTTCACCTTTTAGATTACCTTAAATCATAAGAGCCCGGAATAACCAAAAAATTAACCACAAAAAAAGGCAAATAGAGTGAAAAATCTTGAATAAAACAAACCACACATTTGGAGAATATTTCAATTATATATTTTTATCAACCACGAAACTTCTACCATAAAAAAAAAATACAATACAAATGTACACAAAAACGCTCCCATTGGAGCACCATCAGGATCCAATTCCAGACGGATTCTTCATATTCACAAATTCCATTTTTTCGAAACCAATATAGCTCCATTAAACGCCATCCTCCATTCTCTAAACTCGTGAGGCGTTTCAAAAGTCAAATAAAACTTCCCTCCGCTATGCGTTTTTTCGTAATCAATCTCCAAGGTATTCATGGAACCTAACTCAGTTTTACATCGTTTACATTGCACCAAACTGATCACTTCTTCGGGTTCTTGTGTGTTGTATCGAAACAGCTTCAAATTGGTTCCGTCTAGTTGGCCAAGCATGCTGTTGCAAATTACTTTGGTTGCTTTGTTGTTTTTCATTATAACTTTGCTTAATTTCATTGGGGTTTTTCTCAAATTTTTGCCTGTATTTATGGACAATTTAAAGTCCACATAAAGCTGTTTGTTGTTGGTGAACTCAAAAGATGTTTGGTGAATATTGCTTGTTGTGATTTCCTTTTTGCCAACTAATTGAAATAAAGCTGGTGGCTTGTTTTTGAGTAATTTTTTCCACTTGTAGTTTTTGGTGTTTGTTTTTACTTGTAATTTGTACAGTGACATGAATATTGTAAAATCTTGGCTTATGTCATCGAAAAACATTTTGTCGTTCCACTCTAAAAGTCCATGAGCATCTGGTGCAATAATTTGAGTGTGTAAGATTATTGTGTTATGCTGTAAAACTACCAAATAATAGCAAGGAGGTAAATTTCCATGCTTTCCAAGGTAATCTGTATCCAATTGGATGTTTTCCACTACAATTTGTCCGTTTTTGTAGCTTGGATGCTTTACAAAGTGATTTTTGGCTATGGAGGTTATTAGAGCGTCTTTGGTTAAGTTTGCTATAAGCATTTTGGAGGCGGCTGCAATGTGAGGTATGCTTCCTACGTAGCCCGATTGTCCTTTACCAATGCTCATTAAATTTTGTAATTGCTGGATTCTGTTTTCTTCAAAGTAGATTTTTCCTATTGTTTCTTCGTAATTTAGTTCTTCAATTAGATTATTTGATGGTTCCAGTAATAAGGCCCTAGAATTGTCTTCTTTTGTGTAGCTTGAAGATTCCAGTAGGTATGAAACGTCTCTAGAACTGATGCTGGAATCAGCAAGTGAACAATTTGACTGTTCATTGAAGGCAGCAGTTTCATCTTCATCAGAAAATTTGAAGTTTAAAGAAGCATCTCTTAAACTGATGTTGGAATTGGCAAAGGAGTTTTCTTCTGGACAATTTGGTTCTTTTATGGATGCAGATTCATGCGAGTCCTGAAAAGATACAAAAATCAATTAATTCCAATAATTATTATAATTAATAATTAGACATTAAATTATTGTTGGTTGAATAGGTACGTGGTCCATTCAAACAGGAGAATAAATTACCACATATTTTACCCAAAAAAAATAGGGTGAGTTTGTTGCGGAACTTATGGGTGGACCTCTACGAGACGAGCACAGCGAGTTCCACAGTCATCTACTCACCAATATACTGTTGAACTGTTCAAGTAGGACATTCACCTGAAACGTGTAGTTTTTAAACTAATGAGAATAACTCACATTTGAGTGAGTCAGGTTAGTAACATAATTAAACAGCAGATTGATGAGTAGATGGCTGCGGAGAGGTCCACCCATAAGTTCCGCAACAATGCACTTATTTGTACTTGAACAATAACTTATAAAGTCCGAATTTGTAAGATTATCCACTTTTTGACAATTTGCCTTTTAATAGGAATTAGTAATGTTACTTTACCAAACTAGTAACATAATGTAACAAGTTATTCAAGTACAAATGAGTGAATTGTTGCGGAACTTATGGGTGGACCTCTGCGGGACGAGCGCAGCGAGTTCCACAGCCATCTATTCATCCAAGGGGCAAATTACCTAGGAATTTTTTGCACAAATGTGGGAAATTTGTTGGTAATTTATGCAAAATTGGAGGAATTTATAAAAATTTGGGGGAATTTGTAGGAATTTATGGGGAATTTGGAGGAATTCATGGGAATTTCGAGGAATTTATAGATAGAGTTAAACGTAAAATCCGTCGATTTTAATCTGATACTAGGAATGAATGTGAGCTGGTGGTACCCTACATTAGAACGCCAATGATCACCTGACGTCACACCTGTTTTTGCCAATGACCTTTTTTGCCATATACTCATCCACCTCCTTGCTCCTCATACTGCAAGTGTCAGATGAAAATCGATGAACAATACATTCTCTGATTAAACTAAATTTCAATATTTCGGGATCATAAGCTAGATGCGGAAATATTCTATCTGTGGTTGTTTGGAAGCCGAAGCCACTGCTGTGAAAATACGTCTAAAAGCTTGAGATCTTTAACAAGTACCTACATACTCTTTCTACAGTTGTCAATTTTGGTATCAAAGACATGGTTCAAGGAATAGGAAAAATTAACATGCTAAGTGACATTATGTTTAATTTGAAGGATACTCTTATATTTCCAAGAGTAGAAAAACAAGAAACAAAAAAATGCTAAGAATCCACCATTGACTTCCAAAACTTTACAAATGAACTTATTGAAAACATATTAGAAGATCCTAAACAGGACTTAGCCAGCTTAGGCGTTTTTGATGAAAATGAGGAATCTTGGAATTGACTTGAAACAGGGACCTACAAAAGTTAATACTAGTAATGCTGACAACGAAGAAGAATATGACAATATTTCAAATGCAGATATACTATTATAGGAAACAACAATTTGACGGATAACCTCTATGATGATAATGATGAAAATAAAGAAACCGAAGCATAATTACCTGGGACAAATTTGAAGGATTAATTCTTATAAAATGAAGGACATTTCGGAAGATAGCCAATTTTTGAAAATCGAGTGTGAAAACAAGGAAATGATTGTTAGGAAGTCTAAGTATTGCTGGCTTCTTTCAGAAGGGAATGGAAGAGTAAGCACGGATAGATTAAGGAGATTCCACGTACCTACAAGATAAAAGCCAAAAAAAAACGCCAAACTGTTATCAACCCAAGATAGAACTTGAGGCATGAAAATGTCCAAAAAGAAACTGCATTAACCAGAAACGTCAAGTGACGACGATTGTTCCGAGGTCGGAAAATTTACTCAAGATACCAGTGAAGAAGAATTTGTTGATCCTGATGTCAATGAAGTAGAGGAAACTGACAAAATAAGAACACGCACGTTTGAAGAAATGAAATTTAGATAAATCTAAGGATTACACAAAATTTATTTATTATTTCAGAGCCTCAAGATACAAGTGGAATTGGAGAACTACTATGCAGTTTATTATGAAAATCAATGGTATTTTGGTAAAGCAATTGCCAAAACTGACAAAGAAATAGAAGATAATGACGAAGAAGGAAGCTCGTATAGTTTGAAATTTTTGAAAAAGGAATTGTAGAAACATTTGTATGGCCTACTCACGCTGATTATGCCGATGTTCAGAGTAAATTTTTTGTATGGTCCTACCCAATTTCTAGGAAACGGCTCATTTAAAAAAAAAAAGAAACGATACCCTCAATACTGTAAAACAATATAAGTTATTCAAAAAGTAGCTAAATGTGTGTATGGGACATTTGCGGGGAATTTGGGAGGCATTTATGGGGAATTTGCGAGGCGTTTGGAGGAATTTGTGGGAATTTTGAGGAATTTGGTGGAACTTGTTGGGAATTTGGAGGAAATATGAGGAATTTTTCATAAACAATTCCCCTATGAGGAATTGTTTGTACAAATTTGAGGGGGAGGTTTACCCCTTGTATTCATCAATATGTTGTTTAATTACGATACTAACCTGACTCACTCAAATGTAAGTTATTCTCATTAGTTTAAAAACTACACCTTTCTAGTGAATGTCTTACTTAAACAGTTCAACCGTAAATGGATAAGTAGATGGCTGCGGAACTCGCTGCGCTCGTCCCGCAGAGGTCCACTCATAGGTTCCGCAACAATCCACTTATTTGTACTTGAACAATAACTTATTATATAAAGTCAGAATTTGTAAGATTATCCACTTTTTGCCAATTCTTCTTTTAACAGGAATTAATAATGTTACTTTACCAAACTAGTAATATATTGTGACAAGTTATTCAAGTACAAACGAGTAGATTGTTGAGGAACTTATGGGTAGACCCAGCCATCTATTCACCAATATGTTTTTCAAGTACGATACTAACCTGACTCACTCAAATGTGAGTTATTCTCATTAGTTTAAAAAGTACACATTTCAGGTGAATATCTTATTTGAGTGAGTAGATGGCTGCGGAACTCGCTGCGCTCGTCCCGCAGAGGTCCACCCATAAGTTCCGCAATAATCCCCTTATTTGTACAGAGTGTTTTTTTATATATTGACACCCCACCTACACAGCTTTTACCTTTACAGGTAGAAGAAAGGTGTAAATACAAAAGTTGTACAGTTTTGGCTGAATTTTTAGAAATCATTGGTCAGAAACAAGTTTTTTCAAATGAGATGCCCTATATTTTATTCTATATTCTTGAAGAGCACAATGCCCCAATTCCAAAAATATATAGTTTGTCTATATTTCATTGAACAGTCTCTCATATATTCGGCTCCAAAAATTGTAAAATTCTATCCTACTACTGATTTTGTGAACCATTCTACCTGTATAAGTTAAAGCTGCAGGTAAAATTTGAGGTACTTGGTTTCTCTGATAGTATTTTCAAAATTTTTAGAACCAAATATGTTGGAGACGGCGCAATCAATTATAAAGAAACTATATAGTTTTGGATTCGGGAAATTGGGCTCTTCAAGAATATATAGATCCAAATATAGGGCATCCCATTTGAAAAAAGCTGGTAGTATGCAAAATTTCACATTTGACATTCAAATTTTGTTTCTGACCATGATTTCTAAAAATTCAGCCAAAACTGTACAACTTTTGTATTTACACCTTTCTTCTACCTGTAAAGGTAAAGGCTGTAGGTGTGGTGTCAATATATAAAAAAACACCCTGTACAAATAAGTGGATTATTGCGGAACTTATGGGTGGACCTCTGCGGGACGAGCGCAGCGAGTTCCGCAGCTATCTACTCACTCAAACAAGACATTCACCTGAAATGTGTACTTTTTAAACTAATGAGAATAACTGACATTTTGAGTGAGTCATGTTAGTATCATAATTAAACAACATATTGATGAATAGATGGCTGCGGAACAATAACTTATTATATAAAGTCAGAATTTGTAAGATTATCCACTTTTTGCCAATTCTTCTTTTAACAGGAATTAATAATGTTACTTTACCAAACTAGTAATATATTGTGACAAGTTATTCAAATACAAACGAGTAGATTGTTGGGGAACTTATGGGTAGACTCATCCATCTATTCACCAATATGTTGTTCAAGTACGATACTACGATACTAACCATCTATTCATCAATATGTTGTTTAATTATGATACTAACATGACTCACTCAAATGTCAGTTATTCTCATTATTTTAAAAAGTACATATTTCAGGTGAATGTCTTATTTGAGTGAGTGATGGTTGCGGAACTCGCTGCGCTCGTCCCGCAGAGGTCCACCCATAAGTTCCGCAATAATCCACTTATTTGTACAGGGTGTTTTTTTATATATTGACACCCCACCTACAGCCTTTACCTTTACAGGTAGAAGAAAGGTGTAAATACAAAAGTTGTACAGTTTTGGCTGAATTTTTAGAAATCATGGTCTAACTAAATATGTTGGAGACGGCTCAAGCGAATATAGACAAACTATATAGTTTTGAAATCGTGGGTGGGGTGTCAATATATAAGAAAACACCCTGTACCTATGATGGTTTCACAATTTTTCTAAATGCAATTAAAAGACAGGAATAGTTCAAATTGAGCATGACATTATGCATTATGGTCAAGTTAAATTTAATTTGGAACAAACTTAGAATTTTATTGAAAAAATCTGGTTTTGGTATACAGGGTGATTATTGTGCATTTTCCAAAACTAACCCTCTGTGTTAGACAGGCATTGAAATTCTCTACAAAATTTGTGAATTCAAACAATATACAGCATGTTCTAAGAAAGTTATGGAGATTTGAAACGGGTGTTGATTTAAATTTAGAAACATATTCTCTTTACTTTTTGTGAATTTGAAAATATATATATAGCACCCTGTATATCATCACAGGAGAGTTTAATAAGCTTCTAAGGTTGTTTCGGATATTTTTGAAGAAAATTATTTGCCTATATATATAGCAGGTGTCCCAAAAAAAACTATGGAAATCACTTTTAATGTAACCTCTAGCAGCCATAAGAATTTTACTTCGTTTATAATGCAGTAGGTATAAAACTGTTAAATAATGACGCTGTTATTGTTTTGTGATATATACAAATGGACTGACAAAGCATTTCATAAAAGCCAATTTATAAAATATGAAAAAATCGAAATGTCTTCATTTTACAAGCAATAGAGTTACTTACATATAACAGGCTATCCTTATCATCCTCTCCATCACTAGTTTCTCTTGTCCTCTTCTGATAAAAACTTTTGCTTAAAAACTCTTCACCATCCACCAAAGTATCATCATCGCTATCAAAACAAGGAGAATCCTCTCTAAAATACGTCAATGAAGAACCCAACTTAGTAAGCAATGAATAATCTGCACTTATTGTTGATCGTTGTAGATCAATATTATGTAGATCGTCTTCGCTTGTAGCATAAGCACTGTCGCAGCAGGAAGAAGTTCTCTGGTTTAACTCACTGAGATTTTCCATTGCACTGGAACGTTTCAGCTTTTTCGGAAATCCACGAAAGGTTTCCATCACTATGTCGTGCACGATTTCGGCGTAATCTTTGCTGATGGTTCTCTCCAACCAAGAGTGAGCTCTTTTAGTCATTTTGAGAAAAATCTTATAAGTTTTAAGTCATATGTATGACTAGTGTTCTCTTCGAAAGATTTCAGAAGACTGAATTGAGGGTGCGAATGTGTGAATATTTAAATCATTGTAGTTCATTGTTTGATGTGGTAAAAATTTAATTTCAAGAATTTGACCTGTTTACAGGTAAGTATAATCTTTTTCAGAAATACCCTTTGATGATTATGGTAATTATGTCTGAGAGTTGAATATGCAAATTTAAGTAGTTTTTAATTTTTAGGGTATGTGTGATTCTGTTGATTTTACAATTTCCTGTCTTTCCTAGAAAAATCAACTCCAGTGCCGGTACTTTTGCCAGGGGTTTGAATGTGCTCTAACCACATCATACTTATAGACCTTGGCCCATGCAAAACTTTGACGACGTATCAAATTCTTTAATTTAGAGGAAAAGTATCGGCCCTTAATCAATCAATTAAAACTTGTTAAAAAGTTAATCTATTTAGTTTAAATAATTTCGCATTTAATTAACCGACAAACAAGCTCCCATTAATTGTTTGGTTGTTCAGTACCTTCATCGGTACTTATATCGATCAATTTTAGTCTATTTCAAGTTTGGTTTCAATATGGTTTAGTTTTCGGGTGTTTGTAGGGGGCCTCTAGCAGGTAAATTATTTTGTGATTTTTGTGTAAAGATTCAAGCAAATTATGGAAACAGCAAAAAATTTTCTATATAAACTGAGCTCAATTTGGTTTCATTGGCTCATACGGTTACCGAGCTATTGAGCTTCAAAGTTAACTTTTATTTTAGTATTTTATATCGAAATACTGAGGTTTGAAAATGTTAAAATAATAGTATATTTTCAGGTTTTTCTCATTTTCAATATTCCAGTAGATATAAAAGGTTCAAATTAGTCAAAATTATGGTTTCAAATCGAGAAAACACTTCGAAGAAAAATCATTTTTAGCTTTGGATACTGACTTGCTCATGAATAATTGCTCATCTTTTCAATTAGTTTCAAGCAATTCAATATAAATTATATATCGTTCGAAAGAGCATTAAATTCTCTATAAACCGAGCAAATTTGATGTTTATAACTCATACGGTTACTGAGCTATTGAGCTTCAAAGTTCAGTTAGTCCAATTTTTGTTAAAAAAAAAGTCAAACATTTTAGATTTTCAGATTCTCTCAATTTCCATTTTCCCAATCGATATAGGGCAGGTCCAAAATAAGTCAAAAAAGAATCGTACATCGTTTCCAAATGAAAATTTGAAAGTGGGCAAAAAATTAAAGAGAAAATTTCATTTTTGGCTTTTGATTTTCTCGGAATTCTGACATTGCAACAATTGCACATATTTCCATTTAAATTACAGATATTTGACTTGAGTTATATATGATTGAAAAGAGCAATTAATTCTCTATAAACTGAGTTAAATTTGATTTTGTTACCTCATACACTCATTAAGGTATTAAGCTTCAAAATAGAGATAATAACAATGAAAATGTTTCCCCCGCAAAAACTAAATCGACTGGCAAGAGCGTTCTTTTTGGAAGAAAACTGGAAGTGCACAAAAAGTAGTTTGCTCGGTAGCTTGTTCCGTTTTCGTTCGGCCAACGTGTACATGTAGGTATATTTGATGTAGGCCAGACTGAAAGATCCTAACAAGGATTTCAGAACGCTATAACAAAATCATCTGCAACCGTTACCATAATTTTAACACCAGTATAAAAATTCTACACACATAAAGAATGAAAGGACAAACTCAATGATTAGAATCCCTAAAAATCATCAAGTTCAAAAATTCTGAAAAATTATCAAATGATCAGGTAGATTTGAATACCTAATTTAAAATATTTTTAAACCTTCAACCGGATGCCTGATTTATTCAAATTTCGTTTTTGTATGTTGGTTTATTTTATATTATTTTCATTGTACTAGCCTTAAAGATCTTTGCATTAAGTTCAATACCTATAGGTATCTGTGTTGACTATATTATAAGCATAATCTTATTGTCTGTACAAATATAAATTTATTTTTAAGTGTTTTTATAAAACTCAAGTGTAGAAATCCAGGGTTTCAATTTTAGACCAGACAATGTACGTATAGGCGACCGGGCGTAGCATAGTCTGAGCTGTTTCGAGTACAGGCAAAATGTACTCGGCTACCGGGTACAAGTACTTAGCGTAGAATGTTCTTGAGTACAGAGTACAATTACAAGTATTCAAAGTACCGTGTACATTTATGAACACATTCTAATACTACCTTGCATTCCTACCCAATGATGTCATAAGTACAAGTTATTACGCAACGTCCTCTTCTGAACAGCCTTGATCTATCATGGAAATCCTAATGAATCCTCATAGGCTGCAAGCGCTAAGGTAGCTGCGAACTTAGCATTGCACATGGATTATGACGTCACCTCCCCTTTCACACTTCCGTCACATTTCCCGAAATTTACCATCAAACCGCCGGTATAGATGTTCACACATCAAAAATTGAAAAACACATTTTGGTTTACTGAATGAATTCAGCAATTTTGAAGTTTGATTTGGTATCCAGAGTCCAGAATTTATAAGGACTTAGTTATAACGGCACAAATTATGATGTATAATTAAATATTCTGAATCAGAATTAAATTATCTTTAAGTTAAAGTAAGATTCAATTCTCTATCTTAAATACTTCTGGAGATATTGAGGCTCAAAGTCAAAACTTTGTCTCAAATTTCACAAAAGATTCAAAGCTGATTTTCTTGAAAACGAAGCCCTTGAGCTCGGAATCTCAAATAAGCTGTTTTATAGCCCTTCTCAAGAACTATAATTGGGCAAAATATTCATGCCGATCATTTCACTGGTTTCCAAAATAAGGCCCTTTGAAATATTTGAAAATCAAATTTCCATGCATACCCCTTTGAAAAAATTTGAATTTTCAAATGTTTGGATTTTGCAATTTTTGACTTTACTAATCGAAAGAGGAGGTAAAAATTAGTGGAAAAGCATTTACGCAACTTTGTTTTGTGGGTTTTAGGGCTCGTAAGAAAACAAAAACCGTTTTTTCCACATTTTGGGCCCAGAAAATTTCAATAATCTGACATTGTCTCATAAAATCGCTCATTACTCGATTATAACTGCACATATTATGATGTATAATTATATATTTTGAATCAGAATTAAATTATCTTTAAGACAAAATAAAATTCAATTCTCTATCTTAAATTTTTCTGCAGATATTGAGGCTCAAAGTCAAAACTTTGTTTCAAATTTCACAAAAGATTCAAAGCTGATTTTCTCGAAAACGAAGCTCTTGGTTTCGGAGTCTCAAATAACCTTTTTTATAGCCCTTCTGAAGAGCTACAATTGAGCAAAAGATTTATGCCGATAGCTTCACTGGTTTCCAAAATATGGCCCTTTAAAATATTTGAAAATCAAATTCCCATGCAATACCCTTTTGGAAAAATTTGAATTTTCAAATTTTTGAATTTTTAAATTTTTGACTTTACCAATCGAAAGCGGAGGTAAAAATTAGTGGAAAAACATTTACGCAACATTGTTTTTTGGGTTTTAGGGCTCGTAAGAAAAAAGAAACCGTTTTTCCACATTTTGGGCCCAGAAAATTTCAATAATCTGACATTGTCTCATAAAATCGCTCATTACTCGGTTATTATTGCAACAAATATGATGTAAAATTATATATTCTGAATCAGAATTAAATTATCTTTGAGATAGAATAAGATTCAATTCTCTATCTTAAATACTTCTGGAGATATTGAGGCTCAAAGTCAAAACTTTGTTTCAAATTTCACAAAAGATTCATAGCTGATTTTCTCGAAAACGAAGCCCTTGGTTTCGGAGTATCAAGTAACCTTTTTTATAGCCCTTTTGAAGAGCTACAATTGAGCAAAAGATTTATGCCGATAGCTTCACTGGTTTCCAAAATATGAGAGGAAGTGAAAATTAGTGGAAAAGCATTTACGCAACTTTGTTTTTCGGGTTTTAGGGCTTGTAAAAAAATAAAAACCGTTTTTCCACATTTTGGGCCCAGAAAATTTCAATAATCTGACATTGTCTCATAAAATCGCTCATTACTCGGTTATAACTGCACATATTATGATGTATAATTATATATTTTGAATCAGAATTAAAATAAAATAAGATTCAATACTTTATCTCAAATACTTTTGAAGATATTGAGACTCAAAGTCAAAACTTTGTCTCAAATTTCACAAAAGATTCAAAGCTGATTTTCTTGAAAACGAAGCCCTTGAGCTCGGAATCTCAAATGAGCTTTTTTATAGCCCTTCTCAAGAGCTACAGTTGGGTAAAATATTCATGCCGATAGCTTCACTGGTTTCCAAAATATGGCCCTTTGAAATATTTGAGAATCAAATTTTCATGTATGCATGCCAGCAGTCCAAATAGGTACGAGTACAAGTACGCGATTCATAAAGTATCTTGGCCTGAGTACCGAGTAACTAAAAATATACTTAGAGTACAAGTGAAGAGTACTCGTACCGTACCTGAGAATTGCACAGCTCTGAAGCTCATCAGGATATCGTCAAAGGCGATTTTTTTTTTCGGGTGCCTCGCCCAAAAACGTTTATTTTTCTTCAATAAAAATAATTTATTCAGTTTAATTCAGTTTATATACGTCCTTGAACTACCCTGTGTGATACCTCCTTTGAAAGGTTTTTTACTCCTCTTTAGAGGCGTAACCATTTTATTCCAGCTACAATATAGAACATGATCACTTGACTCTTCATCTGGAAAGCACAAAAACAATTTTGCCTGGCAAAATTGAAGAGCATTCAGCTATTCTATTGAAGCCCCATTAGGCTGAATTCACTTGAAACCACGTTTTGCAGCTAACACCCAACAGCAAATCACAATCCAACCATTTCTCGCCGGTGTTCGGTAGTGCCCCACTGCTACACTTACCTTAAATAGTATAATCGTGCAACAAATGAGATCCTAACCTATTATGGTGGACGGCTTCCCCGGGGGACACCAATTACCAAAAAGAAATA